GTCTCGTCCCAGGTTCTCCTCCTTCATTAGTCTGTGCTGAGGTCACAGGCCCTCTTATATCATGGATTATTCCTTGCAAAGGTCTGGGAGCTCACCGCATTCCCCTTGCAGCTTTCTACAGAGGTTGGGACGTAGCTTCTGCCTGCTCCCCCATGCTTTGGGAACAGAAAAGGATTTGCCCTGGCTAATAGCAAATTAGCTATTAACCTGTGAGCATGCCTTCACTTCCGGGTGCCCTGCATCTCCCCCCACCCTCTCCCGGCTCTGCTCGCTGCTCAGCATGGAAGCCCCAGAGCTGCACCCCCAGAAAAACCCAAACCCTGAAAAGGGCCTCCTGGCACTTGAAGTCCTGGGGCAGCTCACAGGCCAGTACTGGTGTGTTAGCTCCGACTCACCTGGTGAGCCTGTCCAGCAGACAGACCATGAAACTGCTTCCTCATTAAAAAAGCTGGAGAAGGCAACATCATTTTGCACTGTTGCTCCCCCACTGCTGTGGTGCTCCTGCAGTCACTGGACAGACATAGCAGAAGTCAAAGGGAAACACGTGGGCCGTGGCACCCTGTCCTCCGGCCCCTATGAGGCCAGGCACTGCTGCCCTCCCAAACCCTGCTGAGGATTCACTACATGCACTCATACATGCATTAATTACATGCAGCCCAGACACATAACCTGTTCCTGGCCCTGCGTGTTTCCAGGGCTGGCGGAGAAGGTAGCAAGGAGCAGAGAAAAGAGTTTTAAAAACCTGATCCAAAATGGATGTATGTTACAGTTTCTTTCATTTGAACTATTCTCTCCTGTTTCCACATTCTCTCAGGGATCTTTCCAGCCTGCTGAAAAGGCTGAGCAATATTAATTTTGAAATATTCTAACAGGCTGGGCAATATTAATTTTGAAATATTCTAAACAAGATATAGATATGTTAGACTGCTACAAATATAGACATTGGCATCTCTGAATGAAGAGATAGCCTGATGAATAAAGAATACATATTAAAAAATGTCTGAATAGCAACTTACAGGATAAACTGTAACAGCTTCAAAGGAGCCATTGATCTATGGAGTACATAATATGCATGTTAAAAATCGTTGGAATATTTATTTACATGACACAAGGCTCAGAAGAAGCCATTATGGTCCTTAAGTAAATTATACATGTTGTGCAAATTGTCGAAGTGCTTCTTTCACCAGAAATGAGTGTATCCTGTCAGTTGATAAACACATTATCTTTGCGGGGGAAAAGGCAAAAAAAAAAAAAAAGGAAAAAAGGAAAGCAAATCCAAGGCTAAATGAAGGTTAAAACAGAAGAGGAAAACTAAAAAAGGGTGGGAGAGAAAATATAAACCAACCCTTGTGCCATGTCAAAGCGTGTTCCATGCCCATCAAAGGAAGAAAAGTCTGAGCTGCTCATGCAGCCCCATGTCCCACTCAGTACTGCCATTGCGCTTCATGTGCTGCACGCCCAGGGCTCTAGCAGAGGGGCTGCTCGTGTCTCTGTGTGCCAAAGTCTTGGTCTCTTCTCCCTACAGGCCAAGAAATGACAAATGGGGACTAATTCGTTCCAGCCGCCGCTGTGTCCTCTACTTTGAAATAAGCTGCTCTGCTTTCCCCACCCATGTCCCTCTGAGCCTGGTGTGGGACAGCTGGTACTGCAGCCCACTGGCACTGGTTTTACCATGGTGTACAGGGAGATGATTTTTATGGCTATTCTTACAGGTCCTCAAGTGCCTCAGCACAGCCAAGCATTTAGTTGCAAATGGCCTTGCCTCCCCTTTCATACCTTTAAGAGGGGTAAAATCGGGGTGGGGGTAGAACATTGCTTTTGTACAGTCATCATGTGCCTGTCAGCTGGGCTCATCTCTCACCATCATCTGTTGAATGCTGACCACAGCATTCAGCAGGGTTTGCACTGCTCCTTCCCCAGTGCTCTGTAGGTGACAGCTCTTTTCTGGCTGATGCTTTGCTGAAGAGAAGGAATGCCAACTTAGAAAACCCCACCTCAAGTCCATGTTGCAGATCACACCGCAGCCTACGCTATAGCCTGGACCCTACAAATGTTTTTTTCCAAGCCGTGAAGGGGAAAAGGGTTTTTGTCAAGAAGGCATAGCCAGGATTTGGTGGCTGAGAGACCAGCCCTACCCCACTCAACAGCGGTCCGGCAGCTGAGCTCCTGAGTGCTGCACAGCCCTGGGGCGCTCGGTCCCCATCTGAGCTCAGGTGTGCTCCCAAGGCCTGCCTCGGGCATTTGGGAAAGCAGGCTCTCCTTGTAGGCACAGCGTTCAAGTTCTCTGACACAGAAATAAGAGTAAAGGATGGATTTTCTAATGCGAGAGAGCAAGCAGTTGTACGGGTGGAATATATTTAGCCTGTGTTTTCAGATCACATGTTCTGGGACTGGAGCACAAAACATTTTCAGTACTGTTTTGGAAGCACGCTATTCAGTATTGCAAGCCTTACTATTGGAGAAGCCAGTAAATTGCGTTGCATCTAAAACAATTACTTGAATTGCTTGCACCGTGGTTTCTTCTTTCAACTGCAAAGGTTTTACAAAAATGTGACTTCTACAGCTACAAAAGCATTGAAAGTACAAATAATTGTAAAGTGCTGCTCTGCATTTGCATAAACCTGTTTATCCTATACATGGTTTATTCATTAACTCTCAGAACAACCAGCAGGACAGCTATGGTATTCCCTCTGACCGCTTCGTTTGTGGCTGAAAATGCAACTGCTTAAAAGGAGCACTACATGCTTTAGAAAGTGAAAATAAATACCATTCCCATGTGAAACAGCAGGGGAAATGTAACTATCACTGCAAGAGCTGGCATTTGGCTTTTATATGGAATGAAAATCTCCTGTCATTTGGAAATTTCAGAGGGGACTCTCAGTGTCTTCAAGGGGTGGGACCTCTGCCCTGCAGCTCATCAAAATGGGCACTCAGTGTTAGCAATATCCATCACTGTGCTCTGCAGATAGCATACAAGTTAGGGACGGAAAAGACCTAGGTCCCTCACCTATTCCTCCTTGAGAACATTTTCTAGTCCTTACAGTTTAGTGTCCCAAGCAACTGGTTCCTTGCAGCCTCTGCTAGCAATATATTTCCCAATTGGCTCCTCCTTAGGAAGACTTCCTGATAATCACCCCAGCTTTCCCTGTGCTTTCTTTCTCATCCAAAACTTACCTCCAAAACTAGATGAAGTTAAACACATTAATGCATTTTGCCTATTTCATCTGCCTGCTTCTATGAAGATGAGTACGTGTTGCCACCAGTACATTACAGGTGGAAAACGGGGAGTTTGACAGCCGGTGACTTGCTCAAGGTCACAAAAGAGCCTCAGTAGCAGAGATGGAAACAGAATTTGGTATCCTAATTCCTAATCTGGCAGCCTCACCACAACTCTCATCACGCAATCAAAAAGCTCCTTTTAAGGAATGCTTTTGTGACTAAGAGAAAATCCAAGGCATTAGAAGAAAGAGACCTTTTAATTTGCCTTTGTTCAAACACATACGGCTTTTACTATATGGAGAACATGATTTAAAGAAGATATGGCATTAAAATAAGATGACAAATTCTCAAATCTTTGAAAAACAAAAATAAGTACAGCTGCATTTAGTACTGTACTGATTCCAGCCATTAGGATACCCCTTGCTTACAGTTTCATACATAGTGTAAGGAATAAATCAAGATCAGCATCTACTATGCTGCGATAAGAGCTTTTCTCAGTGTTACATATAGGCTTTGACATTTGTCAAGAATATTATATAACAAGAAAAAATTTCGAGGCTCTTTTTAGTAAAATTTCATCTTATAAAGGTCCTAACGTTTTGCACCGGAACAGTTTTTAAAAAAGCAAAGCCAAATCGCCAAGCCACTAAACTCAACAGGAGATTGCCATGACCTGAAACAATCAGGTTTAGTCCACTCTCTTCGAAGAGTAGCTCAGTGATTTATCAACTCTCCTAGGATACATAAGCTTTGATATGCAGGAACTCTACAAGGTAGTTTCATATTTTAAGACACCACCTTTTGCTTGCTTCCTCTTCTGTGTAACAGAACTCTGTAATTTGGCAACAACGGTGGATGGAAACAAATGAGGACATGGAGAACTAATGTCACTGAAAAAGTGTATACAAAATAAGCTGAGCTATACAAGCTAAAGCAAGGAGGAAAGTATAAATATTAATAAGATAAACAAAGAAAGCAAATGCAAATTTAAACCATTCCTTAGGAAAAGGATGATTTTCTTTTTTTAAACACAATGTAAGAATTCCCAAACTGCAGTAAAAAATCCTATTCATAGCATTCTTGCCATCACTGAGTTAGCTGGAGACACAGGACGAGAAGTCCATGGACTCAAGAACATGCATTTTGTTCATTAAACTACTATTATTATAACATCTAAGCTGGGGAAATCATCGCAGGGTCCCACTCCCCACCCCTCAAGTCAGAGATCAGCCAGTGAAATGCCCCCGTCTTCAATGAATTTGCAATGACAGGAGGTTTATGTTTGCGAATGTGTTTACCTACTTTTTGATTTGATCGTTACACAATTATTTTGATTAAGAGAATGTTCATCTTGTTGACACTATCCCTGTAGTCAATAGCTAATGACCCCAGTAGTTAATTTCCTTATAAATATTTAACTTAATAGAAGTTGCCCCTTGGGCTACAGTACTTTTGACACTTGTATAATCTGAAACAAATCCTCTTTTTTAGTCAAACAGACCATGTTACACACACAGTTGGCTAGCTATTTACAAAGTACCCAATTAAATCCTGCTTAATTCTCCCACTCTGAAAATCTCATTTCACTGGTGTGCAGGCTACTGATCACACAGATGAACATCTTTCACCGAGCCTGGCTGGACATGAGTTTGCAGTCTGCAAGACTTGACTGTACAAAAGCCCATTGTAAAATTAACTCGCCCATCAAATGGTTATGTACAAAATATAAGTGGAGAGAGTGCAAATTCAGAGGATTGAAGAAATAAGCTGAAGAATCACAGTTAAAGACAGGTAAATCTAGTTTAATGTTCACATGTAGTTACACATCACAGAGATTAAACAGGATTTTAACTGTAACATAGCTGCAGTGAAATGTAAGTCATTTTGTACTAGAAAAATAATCTTGACGCAGTTATCAGATTTTTGGTCTACTTAAGTTCATTTTAAGGTGAATTTACATCACTGATCGTAACGACTTTGCCCATGTGCTTTTCTGCAGTTCGGTATTAATACTCTTTGGACGAAGGAAACAGCAACTGGTTTTGTTAATGGTTTGCCCTTTGGTTGCAAGCAGAGAACTGTTTTCACTTTTTAAGCAGTTAATAGGCTGTAGGAACGCAAGGTTGCAATAAAACCTCTTGGTGCTGAATGAAGTTCCAGAACAAATTTCTTGATCGGATGCAACAGCAGATTTTTTAAAGAAAAGCTGATTAAAGATCTAAAGCATCGCCCCCATAATGCAAAAACTAGATAGAATTTTTCTATTCTCAGTAAAAACACTACATCTTACTGCTACTCCTATAGAATGCACAAAAAACCCTGTGCCTAAATGACAAAAGTGTAGTCTCAAAATGTATAATACACTTACAAACATTTCAAGTCTAGATTGAGGAAAACACGTTTGTATGGACTCCAAACAAGTTTATTTGCAATTAGACATCTCATGCAATCATGCAGGACCACTAGCTATAGCTGTTAACTTCTGAGTCTAAAGGACATCTGGGGACAAACAAAAAAAGAGGCCCTAAACATTCAAGATATTTCCATATTAGCAGCTCCATACTTGAGCTGTGGTTTTCTAAAGAGATATTCCCACAGATTTAAAAAAAACATACACACCTTTATAATATTTACAAAAAAATATTTAATTAAAAATATTTTATAATTACAGTAGTCTATTAAAGCATATACTTTTCTCACACTTATAGAACATCTCTATATATACACAGTATGAAATGTCACTCATTTATCTATACAATATGTAACATTCCTGCAGGGAGAAGAAAGTTCCCTGGGCCCCAAATAAAATCCATCTATTTTAAACAATAGATGTCAAATATCATCTACAAATGCTCTGGTAGATTAGTAAAGCTTCAAGATTCAGCTGCTCGGTCCCTTACGAGTTATAACGCTTCTAAAGTCTGGTTTAGGTTCGGGTCCTCTTATCCCGGGGCAGAGTCGCAACTTTTCCAGCTCGAGGCCGACAACCGCGGTCGCACGGCTCACATCTGGTCGGGAAACGAAGAGAAGAGACGGGCTGTGTGTCTGGGCGGGTGATGGGAACCGAGGCGTGTGTGTGTGTGTGGGGGGGGGGTTGCTACGGACGTGCAAAGGGGTGAAAAGGCTCTGCCGGGGCGAAGCATGGGAATTGCTCGGGAGGTTGGATGGCTTCTTCCTCCGGTGCGGCGGGGCCGGGCCGGGATTGGGGCTCCCCCCCCCCTCCCGCCCCCCGCGGTGCCTCTGCGCGGCGGCGCCGCCGCACACCTGTGGGAGAGGAATGAATAGAGGGGGTGTGTGAACCGCTCCGCTCCAGACCGACTGGCGCCACCAACAACACACAAGACATGCTTGATCAACAACCCAAAACAAACCAGGTCAAACAACAACCGCAGCTCCCAGGCTGGGCCAAGGCGGAGGGATGCGCAGCTGCGCGCCGCGCCAGAAGCTCTTTGGGGAAGAACAGAGCGGGGGGGGGGGGTGGGGGTGTGTTTGGAAAGAAAAAAAAAAAACCACAAAAAGGCAACAAAACAAAACCCGGTAATTAAAGAAAATAAAATAACCACTCCGCTAATTAAAAGCCCAAAGCGTCCTGCAAATATTTCTTGCGGGTTCATGTTCTCCCCAACCCCCCCCAACACCTTCGGCAGGCTTCCCATCGGGAAGCCGTGTGCGCTGCCTGGCACCCCCGCCCGCCGCCGCGGCCCCGCGCCCACCCGGCACTCACCTGGGGAGCGGCGGTCAGCGGCAGAGGATGCTGTCCCCCGGCTTGTTAACAGAGCCAGCCTGCGCAGCAAGGAAACACGGCATGTTAGAACGGGTGTGGGGAGAAAGGCACGGAGATTGCCCCCCACACACACTCTCCAGATCCCCCTTCCCCGCCCAGGGCACTGCCACATTCCCGCCGGGAAGCGCCGCTGGGAGCTCCCGGCTGCAGGAGGTGCCCAGCCGGGCACCAGCTCGGGAGCGCAGAGCGAAAGGGCCGTGGGGGAAGCACCGGCACATGGGGTGCCGAGGCACGCCGCTCCCCGCGCCTCCGGGCTGCCACAGGGGTCCCGCGGACTGGAGAGGCTCCCCAGTGTCCTCCCCCCACCTAAAAGCACGCTGCACCGAGGTCGTTGAATGTGCACGGCCCCCAAACGCGTTCACGCTCGCTCCGCTCAGCGGAGGGCTGGGAAGCAGAGGAGCAGCGCGTCTGCTCCCGTGTGTGCAAACACTCTGATTACAGCGGCTCCCTCGAGAGGCTGTAATTACACGGTAAACACCGTGCGGGCGCCTGCCTGCACCGAGGGGATGCAGGCACCCGCCGCGCACCGCCGAGGCGATCCTGCGCCCACCCACCCCGTATATTTGGGGGCTGCTGCCGCTCGGCATAACCACTAGGCCGGCAGCGGCGAGGCATCACCGGGAGCTCCCACGGCGGCCGACGCTGCCCGTCGGGCCATTGCGCTGCCCTCCTCCCGCTCAGCATCCCGAACCGCGGGCTGGCGTGGCACGCACCTCTTACCGGGTCAGTATTGAGGGCTGTCAGCGGGGTCCTTGGGGTGCCCACGGGACAGCTACCCGGGTGCAGGGCGGGTGGCTGCTGCTGCTGCCGAAGCAGCGCCGGGTGCGTCTCCAGAGCCAGCTGCAGGTCGAGGATGTAGTCGATGACGTGCTGCAGGATCTCCACTTTGCTGACCCTCTTGTTGGGCGGGATGGTGGGCACCAGCTTCCTCAACCGGCTGTAACAGTCATTCATATCGCACTGCAGGCACAGCGCCGCAGGCTCCTCGCCCGACGACGGGCTCCCCTTGCAGCCGCTGTGCTCGGCCAGGCACCGCAGGGCCGGGTGGCCCCCGCCGCCGCCCGTCACGCCGGGCTGAGCCTTGCGGCTGGGGTGTCGGACGGGACTCACAGCTTTCATGATGCCGCAGGGAGGGAGGAAGACCTCCCTCTCCACCACCGCTGCCGCCTCCTGCGACCTCGGACAGCCGCGCACGCACCGCCCGCAACGCGACGGGAGCGGGTCACGGACGCAGCCTTGCTTGCGCTGCCGGCGGCCCTTCCCGAGGATGCTACGAGAAGTGCTCGCAGGGCCGCTCGTCAACAGCCGCGCTGGCGAGAAAAGCGCTCCTCCCGCAGCCTCCGACTACAACGGCACAGCCGCCTCTGCCACCGCCGCTGCCCGCGCCGCCCCATATATATCGCGGGGTGCGGGCGGGGCGCGGCGGGCGGCGCCGCGGCGGGGCAAGGCGAGCGCGGCGCGGGGAACGGGGGGGCGCCGTGGTGCCGCGTCGCAGCCAATCAGAGCGCCGCATCTCCTCCTGGATCGCGGCGCCTGCCAATGGCGGAGCGGCCGGGGGGGCCGTGGCGCTGCTGGAGGGGGCGGGCGGCTGGCGCTGACCCCCGCGGGGAGGAGGCGGTGGCGGAGGAGGAAGAGGGGGGCGGTCCCCTGGAGGAAGGACTGAGGGAATGCGGTCGGGATCCACCGCCCGGCGGTTCTTGGCGCCGCCCCAGCGGTCCGGTGCGTAGCTCCGCAACCGGCGATGCTCCCAGCCGCCAGCCCGGAGGATGGCGGCTGCCTCCCCCCGCGGGAGGGGTGATATCTCCTCGGGTCGTGAAACGCGGTTTTATCTTCGGTGTCTGAAGACCCAGCCAGGCTTTCCACATATTTTGAGGGACTTTGGGATGCTGATTTAAGCGCAGGGAAAAACCCAAGCAAAACTTGAAGGGGAAGAGGAGAGGGGAACAAGGAAGGAGGAGGGTTTAGGGACTTCAAGCAAAGCAATGCCTGGGAACATTAAATTAGAGCACATAACTATTAAAAATGCATGGAGATGGAGTATTTAAAATTCCTCCATGACATATAATATTAATCCGTTTTATGTAAAATTCATACCTGTAACTTAATTTGGTCCATTAATGCACCAGATCACGTATTAGTTGTTGTACCATGTTTTAAATATGATGCTGGAAATGTCCAAAGTTCTGTACTTTCAGGCAGAGCATTAAAATTAACAGACACTCTTGAGTCCTGCTTAAGTAATTTTGCAGTAGACTGTAACCTTTTAATTTAATAATGCAGTGTTCAAACTCTCTGTTAATTCCTGCTAAGGATTAAGATCCACTGCGTATCTGAATGGGACACTGGTGTAAGAAACTCAGCACCCGATCCTACAGATGATGCAGCTCTTTGAGCTCTCTGCGAGTGAAGCAGGGCTGATTGCTTGGGCAAAGGACTGCAGGGAGGAGTAAAGGCTGCAGGATCTGCCCCTAAGTTCGTAAGTGAAACCCAGCAGAAGGGCAGAAATCCATAATGGTGATTAATGATTGCATGTCCCCACAATGCTTAGTCACCACGGGTGATATATAAAGGATACAGTGGGAAGCTGTCAAACCCAGAACTTGAATGAGCACTGAGACTGGATCATCTGAAGTGTATAACGAAGCATACTTTCATTCTCTCTCACCCTTTAAAAACATATGTTTTGAGGCTCTGCTTACAAATACTCTTACTTGTTTTCCTTATTTTGTCCCACATTACCAGTGCCATCCACAGCAGTTGGGCTCCCCCCAACACGAAATCCAAGTGCATGGTGTCAATCTTTGAGGTGTAAATCTAGACTGAGGTCTACATTTATGTGTTACATTATGTTGATGTGTAGAAAAGATGTATTTCCATTAGCCATGGGCAGGATGATCCCAATTCTGCCGCACTCATTGCTCTTATTCTGTGAAACTCTTCTCCCCTGCAGTCTCTGAGTCTCAAGAGGTGGAAATATATATGGGCCTTAACACATATATTATGCTTACACTTTGCCTGCTTCCCAGAGTCCTGGTAATATGGACAGAATTGATGTGCAGTCTCAGAGCAAAAAAAAAAAGACTTCTAAATTATGGCGAGCAGGAAGGCTGAAGTCTTGCTGGTCCCATTTAATTAAAATCTGCATGAAATTAGATACGCTGCAATACTGGGTTGTTCTGTTTGTACTGAATCGCACTGAATCCCTCCTGGGAGCTTGTCTGCTCTCACTGGAAATCTCTGGGAAACCCCAGTATGTAACTGGTTCCCCTTTAACTCTCCCAGAGCTAATCTGGACAAATTATTTCTGTACACACACAAATCTCTCTCTCTCTCTCTCCCCCTTCCCCCTCTTACACAGACACTGTACCAGCACTATATAGCAAATCTACTGAGACCACATTAACTCTTGAAGATGACTCAGTATTTCTGGAAACCCGAGAAGAACCATGATGTGCTGCTGACCTCTTTTTCCACTGGGCTATTTCCACTAAAGAGGATATGAAAGGAAATCTGACGGTCTGTAAGCATTGTCAAAGTTGCAAGAAGCCTCTGTGTTCACATAGCTAACATATCACAGTAGAGACATGTGGGAGAGGGAAAAACAGCCCTACCCCTCCAAATATTGTATAAATATTCAGGGGATTTCCTCTAGTAACTCCTTTTGATACTCATGAAGTGGATACATGCTAGTCTGACATGCTCGGCTGAACAACAGGCACCAATTCCCTGTTAATAACCGGTCTCCTTTTGCTCTCCTTGAAGTCAATGGGAGTTTTGTCATTGACTAGAGTCGGAGCAGGTTGGGTCGGCTGCTTTTTCAAAATTTAGATTGGATGTGCACCAGATGCTAAGTAAATTGCTGTAGAAATGGGTTGGAAATCACAGAATGTTGGCAATGGAGGTAGGTGTTAGACAAGCTCTTCATCCCTGAAGATGTACATGAGAGAGAAGGACAAAGCCTCTGTTCGTACTTCTATTGACAGCAATATTTTTCATGACATGACTAGGAGGGATTAATGCTCCTGTTTTTCACTAGACCAAGTTTGGAGTTTTAAAGTAAATTCTGTGCATCTTTAAGCATGTGGTCCTTTCCTGCCTGGCTGGTGGAGCTCATCTGTCTTGGCTGGGTTTTTCTGTGCTCTCTTCCTACATGCAGAGTCAAGATTCATTTCCATTGTAACCAGCTCTTGTAATATTAATCTGACTAGATCCTCAGTAATGCTTCAATGGGCCAGTTTAGTCCATTAAAAGAGAATTGATGAGTTCAGATCACATCACAGGTGCTCTCTGGAGTTCAAAAAAGTTGCTTTTGATTTAAAACCAAAGTAAAATGAAAATGTAATGACTAGCCTTGTATCCCCTTTGTCATGAGGATAATCCCATTGAATTTAACAAGAATGAGTAATGTAGGCTGAATTTGTCAGCACAGGTCTGAGTACATGAATATGCTGTTGACTCCAGCTGGAAAAATAAGCTGAGGCATTGACAGTGTCTCTGGGTGATGGCACCAAGGAAGGGGGACAGTCTTTCCAAGTGCAGAACACTGGACATTTTCTCTGACAGCACTCTGGATCCATAGATGTTTGTGCATGATACGATGCCACTGAACTAAATGGTGCATTGGATAGTACCTTATTAGTTCACATAGTCTCAGGACAGATAGAATTTGAAGAGAACACATTTAGAGGGAAGCAAGCAAAGTGGTTTCTTACACAAGGTTACTTGCTATACCTACCTTAAGAGGGCATGAAATGCACACAAATGTACGATGCATTTTTATCCTTGAGCAGGTTATGAAACAGTGGCTGAGTCAAATGTCCCTGTTTTGGGGCTTGGGGCACACTATATCAGAGCAGTGCAGTAAAATGCCAAGCTTTCCTTTGCTTTAGGCCAATAACTGATGGGGCAAGTTTCATCCTGGTGGGCACAGAGATATGTGAGACTCCTTGCTGTCCATTCCTGTTGACTCCAGCAGGCAGCCAGAAGACTCGGGATCTCAGAGGAACTGCTCAACACCGAGAAGGGCTGATCATTAAAAAAGCATTATAAATCTCTGAATGGTTTATGGTTTATGAGGGAAATAGCAGTTGATTCCTCAGTGGTGCCATTACTCTCCACTATTGCTATCATTCAGAAGGCAATAATATTGGTTATTTACCTTCAATTAAAATATCTAGTTAGTTGTGATGTCATTTAAAATAGCACTATAATGTGTTTAGTGCTCCCTTATCAAATACCATAGATAAACTCCTTTTGGCAACAGGGGATAGTGATATGAAATGAAAAATTGGGTGGGGGAGTGAGATGGAGGAAAGAATATGTAAATCTTTTATTGGATTATTATTCCTAAATGCCTACGTTCCCTTGCACACCAACATGGAGGTGAGACTGTGGGCTTCTTTGCAGTGACACCACATGGGTCCTTAGAATAGGTCAGGGAAGATCCATCGGGAATTTGGGGAGCAGAGACAAGTCACCTCACTCTGCATACTACCAAGAGACCAAAATCCATTGGTCTTGTGCTAGCATTCCTCACCAGAGACAATTCATCATCAGAGCTCTTCCAAACACTTAACGCAAACCTTCTCCCCAAATAGCACAAGTCATCTGGAGTACTGTTATCCCTATTTTCCTCAAATCCAAAATCTAAATAAAACTCACACACTTCACTTAACATGATGGGTTTGTTTTTTTTTTTTTTTCCTCATTCTCTGGTTGTGGTCATGACAGAATTTTCTGTTTAATGAGAAATCCTAAGAGATTCTTAAGACTTTGACTTCCCCATTGTCCCCTGTGCATGAAGTTTAATATAAATAAAATGAAGAAATGCTTGTTAATTGCTCACAACAGCTCTTCACAAACAAAGGAGATTTTTTAATTTTTTTCCATGTTCACATAGTTGTCCAGCTTAGAGCATCCTCCTAATGACCGGAGCATGCTCCTATCCATCCTTATATGCTTTCCTTCAGCTTCATATGCTACAAAAAAATCACATGACAACAAATATTTTGGAGAGATGAGGAACAGATTATAGAAACACCAGTCCTTCTCCGTGGCTTGATGCTTATGTAAGCCCTTTTTTACACAAGCATGGAAATAACTGCATAAAGAAACATTTACCTCAATTAGTGGAAAGAACCAAAAAAGGACTTTAATGGGGTTAGTGTCTAGAATAGCTTTTCTTGCTGTGTTGCTTCCAGCATGGCTACGTTGTAGAAATTCATAGAAACTCTCTTGCCTTTGAGAGTCTGTGGCAGCAGACAACATTGGTATGTCACTGACAGATGCCCTGGCATTTTGCTGGTGGTTGTATGTCGGCCGAAGGCTAATGTCATTTAAGAAGGTTG